AAATTTGCAAAAGCCACATCGGCTGCGTCGTCCCAATGAAAGGCATTCTTCTTTAGCAGGTTGGTTAATGGAGCAGCCAACAGGCCATAATTCTGTACAAACTTGCGGTAATATCCTGTCAAACCGAGGAACCCGCGGAGAGCCTTGGCGGATTGGGGCTTGGGCCATTCCTTGATTGCCTGAATTTTGGAACTGTCCACCGTTACACCTTGCCCGTTGATGACATGACCCAAGTAAAGAACCTGGCGCTCCCCAAAAGAGCACTTGGACCGTTTAAGGAAGAGCTTGTGTTGGTGCAGGAGCTCAAAAACAGTCCTCAGATGATGCACATGTTCTATCCATGATTTACTGTAAACTAAAATGTCGTCAAAGAACACTAAAACAAATTTGTGAAGGTGGGACTGAAATACCTCATTCATTAAGGACTGGAATGTGGATGGGGCGTTTGTGAGACCGAACAGCATAACTAAAAACTCAAAGTGGCCATGATGAGTTCTGAAGGCAATTTTCTCAACGTCTCCGGAAGCCATTTGGACCTGAAAGTATCCCGACATGAGATCTAATTTGGAGAAGTACTGGGCACCATGAAGTTCTTCCAACAACTCGTCCACAATGGGAATAGGGAATTTATCCTTGACAATCCGGTTATTGAGCTCTCTGTAGTCAACACAAAATCTCCAAGTACCATCCCGCTTTGCCACCAACAGGACTAGCGAGGAGAAGGGAGAACGGCTAAGGCAGATGATCCCCTGTTTCATCATTTCAGCACATTGCTTCTCTATCTCGTCTTTCTGCAGATGTGGGTAGCGATAGGGTCAGACGACGACTGGTTCTGAACCCGTCACCGGAGGGATCCGGTGATCGCAAGCTCAGGAAGGAGGAAGTCCCTTGGGTTCTTGAACCACATCTGAAAAATCGGCGAGGAGCCTTTCCATAGTCGTTGCATGTGTCGTTTCGCCTTGGAGCGCATGAACCTGTGGTTTTTTTGCCTTTACCCTGCCAAGTAACTTGCTTCCCATTCAAGCGGAATGTCATCATTAGGGCGCTGAAATCCCATAGGATTGGGCCTAGGGTGATCAACCATTTTACCCCAAGAACTATATCAAATCCATCCAAGGATAGCACAAACAAATCAGCAAAGAAGGATTCAGATTCGACTTGTATTTGGACGTCCTTACAGATTCCCGGACTATGAACTCTTTCACCGTTTGCTACGGCTACTTGCAATCTTGGTCTGATTTCCATTGGCAGCTCCAACTGAAGGGCAGCTTGCTCACTTACAAAATTGTGTGTGCTTCCCGAATCAATGAGGATCCGTACTGGTCTTCCCGCAACTCGTGCCTGCAACTGCATAATCTGAGAGGTTTTTATTCCTGTGATTGCGTGGAGAGAAATCTCGGGTTCAAACGATGAGGGTTCATCCTCGTCTTCCTCTTGTTCATCCACCAAGAGGCAAAAAAGTCTCTTGCACCTATGTCCCGCCGAATAAAGATCGTCACAGTTGAAACACTGTCCCCTCGCCCGGCGTTCTACCACGCTGCTTCCCACACTGGATGCCGACCTCGGAACGTTGCTCGTATGAGGCTTCTGTTCTCGGTTGGCTGCAAAAGATGGGGCCATTCCGGGTGTTTTCGGGGATGCCCATGTTGTTGGCGGCCGCCCTATACTGAAAGTTTTGTGGCTGAGTTGCAGCTTGCGTTCAAAAGCGCGAGCTAGATTCATGGCCGTAACCAGGTTGGGGGGATTTTGCATCTCCACATCCACCCTTAAAGGTTCTGCTAACCCTACGATGAACATGTCTACCTGCTGGTCTGGCTGTACCGATGCTGCTCTGGCAAGGAGGGTTTGGAACTGGTGCTGATATTCAGCCACCGTTCCCGTCTGTTTGAGGTTGATCAGTTCGCCTAATGGGTGCTTGTTAATGGGGGCCCAAACCTGAGAAGGCAATAGGATTTGAATTGGGTCCAACTGAGCCTGGGTTCCTCCTGTTCCAATCGATAGAACCAGAGTTGCGCCTCCTCCGTCAAGTGGAATGCGGCTAGGCTTACCTTGTCTCTGTCCTCTGTCCGTTGGTTGTGGAAGAACTGCTCACATCAGTAAAGCCACCCCAAGGGATCTCCAGCGTCATTGTAAGAAGGGAACTCCCTGTTCTCCACGAACTTGTGCTCCAGTTCATGCACCCTGGACGTCAACTGCTCCAGGTCACCCATGACGCCTTGCTCTGATACCAGATTGCTAAGGGCCCGCGAATAGGATCTCGTCACGGGTCGGTCCATGGGGAAAACCTTCTGTTTCCCCTTGTTCCTCCATTTTCTTGAGGAACCTATCTTGGCGCCCTAATGGTGATTTGTCCAAGAGATCACCAACTCTCATTTGTTCCTTCTTGACTGAAAATTTTGATGCCTTTATTGAATATCATCAGCTCCTTAAATAGGAGATTACAAGAAGATAAGAGTCCTACTTTTAGGAAGATTCCCTACTAATCTATACTACTGAACAGATAAGACTCCCTACTAATCCATACTACTAGAAACAGATAAGATAAGAATACTGAACAAATAAGATAGAAATCTAGCTAGAATTAGATAAGATGAGAATCAACAAATCTTGCACCCTTTACTGTTGCTGCCGGCGGCGATATTTCTTCCCAATAAAAGCGTCCACATCACATTCAACCTACGTCCTAAAAGATTATGTTCCAACCAGTGGCTCAAGTTCTACCAAAACAAGTTTCACACACTAGTTGAGCAAAGCTTCAAAACTCCCTTTTTCCATTTGTAGGTGAGATGGCCAATTGAGATCCAAATCCAGTCCAAGGATCCCAACAATTTCAAACATCAAAATAATCAACTTGCAAAACAAAGGAATGAGGTTTGTAAGCCTTGTCATTTAGTGGGATGGTGGAAACGAGAGGTCTCGTCATTTAGTAAGGTGGAATCAGGTTTGTAAGCCTAAGGAAGGTGGTGGTTTAGGAACTAGCCATATTAAAGAGAGGAATGCCTTACTCGGGAAATGGTTGTGGAGATTCCCCATTGAGTTGGGAACCACTTGGACTTCCATCAGCAACAGCAAGTATGGGAGAAACTCGAATGGATGGAATAGTAAGGTCCACTTGAACCGAGTGACAGCAAACAGCCCCTAGAAAGGTATTTCTTCAACCTACGACTCATTCTTTTCTTTTATTAGATATATGGTGGGAAACAGAAATCAGATTAGATTCTGGACTGACCTTTGGTGGGGAGATAGACCCTTAGCTAGGGCTTTCCCTCGTGTCTTCAACCTATCCCGATCCAAAGAAGCCACAATTGCCTCTTGCCTTACACCTTCATCCTCCAGCTTTAATTGGAACCTAAATCTAGGACGACCTCTGAGAGAAGTAGAGAAATAGCCAAGCTTGGAAACCTGTTACATTACGTTAGAGATGTCTATCTTTCACCAAATACCCCTGATCAAAGAGTTTGGTCCCTTAACCCTGCTGGAAAATTCTCTACAAATTCCTTTTTCAAGGCTCTAGTGTCGAGTGAACATGACTCTAGTTTCCCTTTCAAGAAACTGTGGTGTTCCCAAATTCCTTTAAAAGTTTCCTTCTTTGTGTGGGAGGCTTGCCTAAAGAAAATAAATACTTGTGACACCTTATAGAAAAAGTTCAAAGGCAAGTGGTGCATTTCCCCGAATGCTTGTCCTCTGTGCCTAAATGATGGGGAATCAGCAGAACATCTTCTTCTACATTGTCCTGTAACCAGGAAGATTTGGTATCATTTTCTCAGAATGGTTGGTCTCAGGTGGGTGTTTCCTAAGCAGGTAGTAGAGTTTTATGTGGCAATGGCAAGGTACAGGATTAGGTAGAAGAGACAAGCTGTATTGGAGGTTGGTAGCTCAAGCTGTTATGTGGGGTGTGTGGGAAGAAAGAAACAACAGGATTTTTGAGAATAAAGCTAGAATGGTAGAACATCTGATCTCCTCTATTATTTTCCTTTGCAACCTATGGCTAGTAAATTCAGGACAATTTGCTGGCTTCTCTTAGAAACACACAGAAATACATTTTCTTTTTTAGTTTTTTTTTCAAATTTTGGTTTTGGGGGAGCTAAAAATGGGTTTTTTTATTAAAAAAGGGTGGGGTCCTGAAACACCTATAAACAGGTGTTTCGGGACCCAAAAGATACGATACGATATGCCCAATACGGGGCATATCGTATCGATTTTTTGAACCTTGGGGAGGAAAGGATGATGAGATTAAGCTATGATGGGAGTGCTCAAGGATCTTCTGGTCTAGCAGGGGTTGGAGATATAATCCAGGAAAGAGACGGGAATATTTGTTGGGCTTTTAGTGGCCCAATTGGTTTTGCTAACTCTACAAAGGCAGAAATAGTGGTGGCCCTCACAGGTCTTCGTTGTGCTAAAATGTTAGGAATTTCCTCTCTAGCTATTGAGGGTGATTCAGCTAATACAATAAGATGGCTAAAAGAAGAAGACAGCGGGCCTTGGAGTTGTCTCATTTTTTGGCAGAAGCTAGAGACATATTGGACTCAATGCAGGTTAAGCTAAACTGGATTCCCAGGGAATTGAACATTGTAGCAGACGGGTTAGTTAAATCTGGTGCTCATAGAGATTGTTTATTTAGTGACAGTGCTCTTTCATTTGAAGGGCTACACAACAGGGGTAGCCCATCCCCCAACCCAGGTGCAGGCAGGATTTGATCCCAAGTCTCTGCTACAACCAGCAGGAGACCTTACCAACCAGCTGGTTGGGACCTTGCAAGTAACAGTGCTCTGCCTTTGTAATCTTTTTTCTTTGTTTTGCTTTTGATATATAACTTCCCATGTACCTCCCTTTTTAATATAATCTCAGTTACTTTTTGCTCAAAAAAAGAGACCACATGTCAATACTAATTGGATATTTATCCTGCCCACTTAGAGCCACGTGAGGTGAGATAAAGATAATAAACAAAAACTGCTGGAGTAAAGATAAAAAACAAAAGGGAAGAAAATCCAGTATCTTACTTGAAATGGGTTACTGAATATCCTCTGAAGAAGACCTGAGTTCTGCTGGCATTGATATTCTTGTCGACCCATCTTGCCCAAGTGGTGAGTGCCTTCTTGTATGCTTCCATGACCTTGAGTTTTGGGTGCACGTAGTTACCTTCTTGGTAATAGTCTTCCCTGTACAAACCACAGAAGAAAGGATTATAAACTATAGGACTTAATATTCTGGATAACAAATAAAGATGAACTCTGAAGCTCTTCCTCCTTTTCTTTTTGGGTAATAAGTTAATAACTGACTAAAGAAGTTAAATTTTACAACAGTTGTCAATTTTTTCTTTTCCTTTTCCAGCTTTCAGACTCAGGCCATTAGTCATTTACTGAAATTTTAGCTTGATTTCTACGTGCAATCTGCAGCCTCATAAAAGGAATTCAGATTTGCTCCTCACAGAGCGCTGCCCACACCATATTGCAGCCATGTATTGGGAACATCTCCCCATGAATGACAAAATACATGTATGGGAGATATTCCCAATTCACGGCTGAATATATTGTAAGGTTGGTTTGAGGAGCAAATCCGGTCTCCAATAAAAGGGAACGAATATATAACAATAGTTACCCTCGAGAGGTTTTCTCATGAGTCCACCAATGGCCTGTATTGAAGACTACAATATCAGCTTCACGATACAGTGATGTTGTCGTATCCATCAAATCCAGTCTTAGAGTCTCAATTGATCCATTTTTCCTCTTATTCGATGATTCCCTGACAAGAAATGGACAGCTCACAAAATCCAAGGAACAGTTGTAGTCCTATAAAATAGAAATCCATACATAAAGATGCTAATTAGAAATACAAACAGAAAGAAGCTTAAAAACAAATATTCCTACCATAAGAAAGTAAAAACCTGGAAAACTTGCCTCATATCTGAACGCATAAAAGCCTTTTGTTTTGAATTCTTTTCTCCCTGAAATCTCGAGCACTCTGCTTTTGTCTGGGAGACCATGCCGAAGGATACATACCAGAGACTCCCACATATTCCGATTCAACGAGTCCCCCACAAAAACCAGCCTCTTCCCTCTCATTCTCTCCAGAAAATCAGTTGCGTTCAAGCTGTTGAATAGCTATATCAGTACGCCAAGCAAGTTTAGCTTTTGTAGGTGAAGAGAATAGTAGTAATGCAATTGGAGAAAATGTTCCATAAATGGATGAAAAGTTACTTATTGCCACTAACAGAGTTCAAAGATCTAACATAGTCCATTGAATTCGCTTCTCTAGTGTTGTCCCTTCACTTCACTTCTCTAATGTACATCATTTTACTGGATCTAATATTCATAATCTAGAATTCCTTTTCTCGAGTTCCAATCGAAAATAATCTAGAAATATTTAATGGACTCTGTAATATCCAAGAAAAAGAAATTCAGAGTGAGATCTCACCTGGGAATGTCACACCTATTTGGTTGCCATCTCCATCTTAAGAAAGCATCATCCGGCCTTCCGTTGAGGTGACAGTCGAAATCCCTATCAATATAAGGACAAGAACCAGCGGGATAATATGGTTTTCCATCATCTCTCACCCATTTGCCGTCAAAAATATCACAATTATCAAAAGAACTGTCGACCCTCTTTACAAGTCCAGAATCATTGTAGGAGCTCTTGTCGCTATCGGTCACAGGCAAATTTGTTTCTTGAAATCTCGCCGACACCATTTTTTCTCCACCAAGGGACTTCACGTTCTCGCGGTTGTTTGAATCATTAACGATACTGGTCTCATTAGTAACCATATCTTTCCCTTTAGATTTGCCAACCAAGCTTTCATAGGCATGTCCCTCAGCGGTGTTTCCTTCACGTTTCTCATTCACAATCGCTTCTTCTGCACCGAAAAAGGTTGCAGTGTTATCTTTCATTGACAAATTACAGTGATGGATTCTGTCATCAATCCTTCCTTGTTCGTGAAAAAAGCATTCGTTTTTCTCACTCTCGGAGGAATTCCTCTCGCGGGTTTTGTCTATAAACACTTCGACCCTGCTGGAGCCCAAAACGTTTGCATTGTTCGATTTCTCTGAGGCATTCATTTTATAGATTTCCTCTCCACCCGTCTGCAATACATCAGTGGAGTTTCGGATGCCTGAAGAAGAAGAAGAAGAAGAAGAAGAAGAAAGAGTAGGAACGTTTGAAAACGAGAATGGCCACGAAACAAGAGAAGAATTACCCGTAATGCTGTTAAACCCTTGAAACATTGGGTTGAACAGAGAACCCTTAATAAATGGGTTGCTGAGCAAAATAATCGAAAGAACAAAGAGTGAAACCCCTATACCCAAACCAAAACCAAAAATTATCTTTCTCCGTGAAGAGATAGCATGAGAAAACTGCTCCGAAAATACAAGCTTTTTCAAATCCATAACTGAGGAAAATCATAACCCCCAAAACAACAGCAATGAGACTATGAGAGTAAAGTGAAATCCCACTAGACTAACAAAGAATAGAGAGAGAGAGAAGCAGATAGAGTTTTCTCCTATTTTCGGAAGAACAGAAGAAATTCCAGTGCAGTGCAGTGCAGTATCCCAAAGAACAACAACAAAGAGGCAATGGTGAGTGAGAAGAAGCAAGTAGAAGTTCTTTAAAAAGTTTCTCCGTCGAAGAGAATATAGAGATCAGAGAAGCCAGCCAAGCAGGAAGCCCAAAAGGAGGGAACTGTAAATCAAACGAAATTACGGAAACACCCGTATCAATTAATAGAAGAAATAATAATTGATTTTAAATGATTCAGGACATGACGTAGTTGGAGACAAATATACCCTTGGGTTCCATCGGATTTACATGTACCAATCCTCTAAGTCTCAGGTCAGGAAGACCGTCAAGCGATCCGTGATCATTTTTCTTTTGGAAATGGACGACAAAACGCACCCGTGCCCTGGAGCCCTGGCCCCTGGAGAGTGGAGACACTCATGAGTCATGACTCCTGGCACCAAAATTGCAGGAATAATACATACAGTAAATCAACACAGCATATCTATGTCTACCGTTCCGAATAAGATTCAATCTGGTCCGCCGAACCAGGAGACCATGATCAAACAGCCAAACCCAAGTTTTTTCCTACCTGGGATGTGAATCATGTGATGTGATGTGATGTGATGTATAGCAATTAGCATATAGAATCGTTCCTCCCCAGACCCCAGTTAGAGGATAGGGGTATATTGGTCATTTGCGATGTAAGGATGGTCGGAAATGAACTCATTGCAGGAGGAGGAAGGGATAGTTTGGTCATTCGGTTGGAATGATAGTGGTTGGATTAACTGTCAACTGAGTGAAACGAACTAAGGTTGTGGCGTGCGACAGGCACTCGGTGCTGATTGCTGAAGAATTCTCATCAGGATGCCGACACATTTCAGAATTCAGAACACGAGTCTAGTTTTCAACTTGGTTAAAACTTGAAACTTGAAAGGGTTGGTTGTGTCTTGTGATTGTGAGGACCAAATCCGATTTCTGAGGGTTTGGGAAGTCTCCACAGCTCCACTCTCCTATCCAATTCCAATAGTTTCCACTATCGGTATCGTATTCGTATCATTCATGTCCAGATCTGACATCCAATAGTTTCGTCTATCGGTATCGTATCATTTATATCTGGATCAGAGACATTAGTTATATGGATGTATCCTATTTTATTTAAATATCCAAAATTTTAATTTAAATACCTACTTCTTAACTAATTAAAGTCTTTGCAGAAAAATAAAAATAAAAATTTGAAATCCGAATTTTCATATAATAAATTGAAGGGCCCATAAACGATGAATTCACATCTACGCATAGAATGTGCCCAAAAACGTCTCACATGCATATCCTTCCATATTTATTATTGGAAGATGTTTTTAATACACAGTTGACATATTCTCAATATACGGTTGGATGTGTGGTGAACGTTTTGACACGATATTTATGCCCTACAACACATCCCATTGTGTATTGGAAATATCTCCCGATAATGTACTAGAATTAATGATGTTATCATCGAAAGATACTCTTAATAAACGGCGGGGATGTGTTGTGGGGCGGAAATGTGAACTAGAACGTTTTTGGAATGTGATAAATAGGAGAGATTTTCAATTATATAATGCAGCCATTTTGTCATTCAATGCTCCTTGGTAATTGAGAAGAATTAGCGTCGCAGCAAGCAGATCTACCCCTTTTTCCCTGTACAAGTGATTGGTCAGTGCTAATGTCTCTGTCGACTTGTTCTTGAACTCTCCAAGTTTAGACGTAAATTGGGCGGGCACCGCACACTATGGGCTGTGTTTCCTCCCCCGAGTATAGGTGTAAATTGGGTCGTGCCTGTATGCGGCCCATAAATAGTGCAGGTCATGTTGTGTCAGCCCATGGGTCGAATTAGGCCGTTCTTCCCTCCCCTAAGATATTTTGGGGTGTTGGGCCAGCATGGCCCATGGCCGGAGCCCATACAGGCCCATGTCGTGTCGCAGGCTGAGCCTTAAGCCAAGTCGGGCCAAGCCAAGTTTTTTAAAATTTTTAATGAAAATTTTAACATAAATTAATAAAAAATGTACAAAAATTAAAAAAGATTTAAAATTTTATTTTATATGAATTTTGATGTATACAATTTGTTTATATATGCAATAATAAAATAAAATTATATATATTAATATATTATATTATATATAAAATATATATATGGGTCGCGTCGGCACGCAGGCCACGGGCGACACGGCCCGCTCGGTCATGTCATGCCATATCAGCCCATGGACCTAAAACCCTAGGCCCAGCACGGCCCATATGATTGTGTCATGCCAGCACACGTGCTGCAGGCAGTACGACCAATACGATCGTGTCATGCCTAGCACAACCCGTAATTCGTCGTGTCGGTCCAATATGACCCACGGCTTGAGCCCATGCAGATTTGTGTCATGTTGTGCCGTGTTACATGTCAAGTTGGTTCATGGGTCGAGTCTTAGGCCAGGTCGAGCCACATACTGGGTCAAGCCATGAGAGGTATATTTAAAAAAAATGAAAAATTTAAAGTAAATTAACAAAATAGACAAAAAAAATTAAAAAGTCATAAAACTTTATTTTATATGAATTTTGATGTATACAATTATTTATATATGCAATAATAAAATAAAATATTATGATAAAATTGAAAATAAAATTTTATATTAATATATTTTATATTCTATTATATTATTCATATTATTTTATATGGAGTGTGTAATTATTATATATAATAATAAAATGTATATTAATTTATATTTTATATCTTATATTATTATATATAATTATTATAAATATATATGGGTCATGTTGGGCCATGCCGGTACGCGGGCTGCGAGCAGCATAGCCCAATTTACACCTCTACCCAAGTCTCATGTATTTTTATGATTTTTTTATTTTTTATCAATTTGTGTATATTAATTCTCATATTCATATACGACATTTGTTATCTTCATCACTGTTTTCTTTCTCTTTTTTTTATTGACTCCAAATCCTATCAGCTAATTAGGTATGAAAGTATCGAAAATGTAAAATATATCATGAAACATCTAATATAAAGTAATGATTTCAGGCCAAAGCCCCTTATAGTTAGATAGACATGTGGCTCATTTACATTCAACACCTGTCATTCCAAAGATTTAAACAAAATGGACACGTGTTAAATTCTAATTAGAGGTAGTTCAAGAACAGAACCCACTTGACGTATCAAATTCTAATTAGTGGTACTTCAAGAAAAGATCCCACTAACATGGGGAGTGGAGCCTACCACCATGTAGAGTTGTGAGAAGTGGAAAGCTCCCAATTTAAATCATTTCCTAAAAAAAAAAGGAAACTGTGTTATTAATTAATGTTAACTACTAAACTAATTAATTAATTCCAGCTATTGATTACTAATAATAATTACTATTAACTACTCTTAATTAATTAATTACAACTATTAATCTATAATAATAATTATTGTTAATTACTAATTAATTACTGATAACCACTTCTAATTAATTAATTCCAGCTATTAATTACTAATAATAATTAATTACTGAAAATTAATTCTTATAATAATTACTACTAATACTTAATTACTGATAATTTATTACTCACAATATTGCTCATTACTAATTCGAAATAATGATTAATTAATGATAATTAATAAATATTTTCGTAATGGTAATTAATAATTCGATAATAGATATTTGTATTAACTCATACTAATTATTTTAAAAATAAATATTTAATGTTAATTATTTATATTATAATTATTATCAGAAATTAAAATCCATACATTTATATGACATAATTAATTATATTATTATAAGTAATTATAATTAATAATATTATATTAGTTAATATAATAATATTATTATTATTATTATCAATAATTATAATTAATTATTACTAATACTAATGATGATAATTATTATTTCGGAATGTTAATTAATTAATGATAATTAATAAGTATTTTAATAATGTTAATTATTAATTGGGATATAATCATTTTATATTAATATTAATTCATATTAATTATTTTACTAATAAACATATTTATAACAAATTAATTACTTGATAAAAATAAAAATAAAATAATAATGATTAATTATTACTAATTTCAAAATCAATACACACATAATAAGAATATATTATTAGTTAATAATAATAATATACTTATAATTATTACTGAATTCATAACTATTAATATATTAATAATACTGATTATTATTAAAAAATGTTAATAGCAAAATTTAATTACTTAAAATTATTTGCTGAAATTACCCATTTTAATTCGGATAGATAATTAATTAATAATTTTAATTTCTTAAAATTATTATTTACTGAATAATTTTAAATACTCTTTGATTAACGACCTTATTTTTGTATAATTGGTTTTTTATGTTCAATAATGCTTTTTGCAAAAATCCAAATAATTTTTCATTTGCAATGCTAACCATTTTATTTTTCTCTTATTCGGTTTATCAAAAGATAAAAAATGAATTAATGTTATTTACCTATTTTTATCAAATTATGTATTTATCAAGTTGTTGACATTGATGATGTCAGTGATAATGAGTCAACTTTTTGAAAGAGAGGAGTACTAATAATAATTAACGACTTCTAATTAATTAATTTCAGCTATTAATTACTAACAATAATAACTCATTGATATTAATTAATTACTGATAATAATTTCTTATAATAATTACAGCTAATACTTAATTATTGATATTAAATAATTATTGATAATATTTCTCATCATTAATTCGGAATGACAATTAATAACGATTTTCATCATGGTAATTAATAATTTGAAAATAATTATTTTATATTTATATTAACTCATATTAATTATTTTGAAAATAAATATTTAATGTTAATTATTTATATTAGAATTATTATCAGAAATTATAATTCATACATTTATATGAAATAATTAATTATATTATTATTATCATTAATTATAATTAATACTTATATTACTTAATATAATTATATACTTAATTATTATTATCAATAATTATAATTAATTTTTACTAATAATAATGATTCCTGATAAAATTTAATTATTGATTATAATTACTTACCAATAATTAATTCCTTAATTATAACAATGATAATTATTACTTTGGAATTTTAATTAATTAATGATAATTAATAAGTATTTTAATAATATTAATTATTAATTGGGATAAAATCA